TAGGTGTCTCTGGTCTTCCGAGATAGGGTTCAAGAAACTCCGAAACCGCATGGTTGGAGACTTTCAGGGTCATCGCTGCGAACCGACAGTAATGGCGATCATGCTGTCACTTCTCACCAGACAAGAATGCTTGAAATGGTATGTATGCGCAATTGAACTGTGTACTCTGTGTTGACCATAGAGGTTCGCTTTCTTTTCCCCACCATAAAAGTAAGTCCAATCCCCATTCTTCTTACACATTCTCACATTACTTGTATGCAGTATGAGTTTGGCAGTGATCAGTGAAGTTCGCTTCACTGTATTACGCTGCACAATGATGATGATGAATGACTGTCGGCATCAAACGTGAAGGTCGTCACTGGTTGATTTTGAAGAGAGCGTCCGAAGCGGTAGCTACAGTCTCGCGTTGTTGGATGTGTCGAAGGCTTGAGCATATTGGTTTTTCAGCATCTCAGCTCCTTCCTGGATGTTACTGGCGACCTTCCCAAGACAGCTGAGTGCGGGTATTCAATACCTTACTTTCCTTGACTTATGGACCTGTTTGCATGGTAGCGACGGGTTGGAAATAAACTTCCGTGAGAGCGTTTCTTGGTACCTCAGCTTATCCTCCCGCACCAACTGGGTACAATGGTTTCGCAATTGTCGATATTTATTCCAGGTGCTGTCAGTTGGAAGTCGATTGTATTCTCGCTAAGATCGATTACGCAGAGACATGCATTTCTTTGTGCGGCTGCGAATCGACGAGTTTTGGGCCCTTGATTTTATGACAAGCTTGGTAACTTAGGCGATACGATTTGCAAGTCTATCCGTAAATGCGTGCCTGGTGACCAGTGGGTAACGTACGTCTCCAGCGAAAATCCACTGAGTGCAGTGAGCCAAATTCTGCAATCTAGTATAGTCCGTGGCGAGACGTGTATTGTTTTGCGTAGTTCTTTCTATCGAAGCGTAGCAGACATATTTGAACAGCAATACTGCATGGTCACGGCGTCATAAGGGAGATTCAACAATAAGCTCTTTGGTGATTAATACCAGATCCAGCATTGACGACGCCTCCACAAACAGCGCCATTCCTGTACAACATAAACAGGAAATCGTTGTCAACAATGCACCAACGGCAACAAGAGACAACCATTGGTCCAGAGCCGAGGGATATCATTAGGTCACTGAAGCCTATCAAACCAACAGAAAACCCGTCAGCAGGTTGCAAGAAAGGCGGTAGGAACACCATATTAACAGCCATCTGCACGAACTTACCTGAGCCGATAAACCAAACACTGAGGAAAAAGCAAGAAGAAGAGTTTGGTCGTTGAAAAGGTCTGAACACTCTAACGGGAATTGATGTTCAACCTGTGATCCTCACACGCCTTGTGCGCCAGCTGAATTCACCACACGCAGGAGAACCCAGGTTAGTCCGAGTTACNGAGTTACGCTGAAAAGCGAAATGGATGTTGAGAATGTCCTTCTTTCGAGTTACCTCTTGAGAAACAGTTCTAGTATCACAAGAATTTTCTCTGATAGACCATGCGCAGAGCGCGTGCAACACCGGAAAAATCCAGAGCGTGCACAGGAGGTAGAGAACAAAAGGGTTGTTCTCATTCATGGGGTCCCACACCTTAATGGTCCTGATGAGTCAAGATGCTGCTAAAACGACTATAAGGAGTGATGTTTCATTAAAGACCTAATAAACTGCCGAGATGTTTTTAACACAATCGTTTTACTTGTTCACCACACTACCACGGTAACGGTCCGAAGATAACGAAAGTNAGTCATCCTCAGCACAACAGAAATGGCAACCACAGTACTTCAATCTTGGGAACTAAACAAGAAACAGGAGCACTAAAACTGCGCCTGAGACTCTTGATAAAGACTTTAGTACTGGAATTCCCACTGTGTGATAATGCACAATCGATTCAGGCTTCATGCTCCCCTCCACAATCGGGGGATCAGAGTATCGGGGCTCCCTTCTAAAAAAAAACAAATCATTGCCGACCATGACAGGGTCGGTTGTACAGGCCAAACACTGGTTTACCATTCGAACAGCCATTCTTCTATCCACAACTTGGAGATTTTCATGGCAAAATGCAACTTTTCAAACCTCAATTTGCGATTAAACATGGTCCGCTTGAATGGCGCTATTCCTATCCGGACTATGTTCTTATATTTTTGTATCTCGAAAATCGATAATATGTGAATGCGATGCTCAGTGTCTGGAATTGGCTTATCTTAGTGAAATGAAGGTCCACTCCCGTTTCGTTCTTTCAAGATGATGTCTGTTAATATTTTGCTCAGAGACTAGGTTTGGGAGCCCAGATGGTCCACTCAGTGATAACCGGCTAGCTAATCCTTTCTACTTGAAGTGACAAACCTATGGAGACCTTGAAGTGGACTACCACCAAAGTTGAATGTCGTTTGGAAGGTTCAAACCCCGGATCTTCAGGCCCAAATTATACCAGTAGTATCGACTTGAAAAGAACACCATCATGACTATTCGCGAATACTGTTTGATGTGTTCGTCGTATTCATCTACCAATCAACTGCGAACTACTAATTGCAAATGACAACTGTTCTTCAGCGTCGTTCACACACTAAAAGTTTATCCAAAAAGACTTTGGTCTTCGCCAGTTTTCTGTTCCATTCAAAACCGAAGGAAAGAAAAATCCTTGTCGGGAGTTCATGAGAAACCAGAAACCGCTTTAATCAAATCACACGCGTGTGATTTGCACTACACCTCGGGAGTTACATTACTGCTGGTTAGCATGGATAAGGACTTCTTGCAACGCGAAATAAATTCAGATTGGTGCTTGCTAATCGGCGGCAGCCTTGGTATGGTCGGTGATGGGTGTCTTGTAGTGTAACTGGTTACCTTCCACCCGAGCAACTTACAAAATGAACCCCTACAACCGAGCGTCTCAAATAGCCTCTGGTGATGATGCTCTACTTATTTATCTTCTCGTGGTGGTGTTTTTCCTCCAAACCGAGAAGACGAAAAGCCAGCATCCGTAGTTCTAATCGAGTCGGCGAACCCATAACAGTTCCTCAGGGAGAGTTGGCTTAAACCACTGAGTGTTTAAACGATACCTTGGAGTGGCGAACCACATAAGGCCCCGATAGGTCAGGCATGGTATAGAACCGGGCGACAGCAAAGCTGTCTACCACCAAAGGTGGATGGCGGTGGCGGGGCTCCCGGCCCCCAACTTAGGTGGTAGACAGCTTTGCTGTCGAAGTGTATTGGGTACCTTGGACGTTTAATGTCGTCCAAAGCGCGTATGATCCGCACACCGCCACGCTGATTTGCAGATCAAGCTTTGACTAGTCAGTAGCTGTGAATGCCCGAAGAAAGTTTACTTGTTTTGATTTGGGTAGCGTGACCGTATTCCACTCACTAGCAAAGCGTACACTGATTTGTTTGGCGCAACGGTAATTGCCTTGTTGATTCATAGCGGTGAAAGTTAACCGGTCCAGGTAGATGACATCTCTCACGTATTGTGGAAGCATCGACTGATTAACGATGATGCCAAACGATAGGTATCAGATAATCAGTGTTCCGTTAAATAAGATCATCTAACTGTTCCGTCTAAGGCGGTTACTGTTGTTGCTATGGGCTATGGTTGAGTATCGAAGTGATTGGCTGGAAGACATTCTCAACTGTAGACAATACCGACCCGAAAGCATGCAAAATTCAAAATGGTCCGTTCACTTTTGTTTGCAACCTGTGATAATGTAATCAACTGTAGTTTTGTGAATCTGTCCACCAAATTATCCTCTGCTGCCAAGTTAAATGAACACTATTTACGCACCCGTCGTTTTTAAACTGGAACTTACTATGTATCAGATTATACATGTAAATATTGTGCTGGATTTATTTTTGCGCATTGCCTCTAAACTCGCATACATTCGGGAAACGCTAGGATCGAGTTGCGATATATATATTTCACACTTGTCTGAGGACAGACTGTGTGCCAAACAAATCATGGTACAATAATCTTTATAAAAAGAATAAAGAAGAATTAAAAAAATCGAGTTGCGATAGAGCATACCTATTGATCTAAGCGGGATTTAAACTCCGGACCCATCGTGTGAAGCGTTTGCATGCGTGTTACCACTAAGCCAATCGGCTTGCACCAGGTCGGACTGAAATCACCGACCCAAGTCTTGTTTCTGAAATGTCGGCTTCATTACCAGTAAATCAGTTGCTCGAAACCCGTGAAGGCAGACAGCTCAGTGTAAACTTCGATATAAAAAGATTTCATCATTATTCAATTTTCTGCTTGTTATTTTATCATATCGAAGAACAGATGCCAGTAACTGGAAATCTGCAGTCCTATTGGACTCGCGTGACACATGCAATCTAACAGTGGATTTTAATCACGTGATCCAGCGTGAAATCGATTGGCCTAAACCTAAAATCGAGCAGCAAGATCCACTCGTAGACAGGAGTAACAATCTTCAAACTTGTTTTGCAATGAATCATGTGTTAGAGGAACAGTTCAATTGACTTGCTGGAATGCGGATCGAGAGTGAAATCAATATAGTTCTATTATCTCCACTCCGCAATGATCCACAATTAATCCCTCCGAGAAAAATTGTATAGTTCTAGGAGCTCTCGGAGATTCACTTTACCGATCCAACTGATGACCGAGGCTCCCACAGCGCCCAACAACAACTGAGCTAAATTTGTTCTGTATTTTACCGTCGTTCATGTGGATTGTAGTGGTATTTTTTGTGTATTTCATTAATCGGCGTTTCGCTATCATTTAAACTACAAACCAGCGTCCGAAGTCACATTATACTCGACAATGAATTCAGTCTAAAATGAGAGTTCTAGAAGAACTGTTTGCTAAGTACCTATCGCAACATGCTCTGTACTACTTTGTGATACTAGGGGGTGGGTAGGGGTGTTGTTTGGATTTCGAAGCATCACTACAATACCACAGTGCTCTGGAAAATCAACGAATGACAACCATTCACATTGGCGTTATCGAAGCGACCGCATTGGAAGTCAGCACCAAGCATGAATTATTGAACCATCATGTATTTTGTGTGTGGCAAATTTCAAACTATTCTGGACATATGAAATGGGTGTACTTTCTCTCAAACGA